ATAGATAGATAGATAGATAGATAGATAGATAGATAGATAGATAGATACTAATAAAAATGCAAACATCAAGGCACATGTCACCTGCCTACTTCCTCCAGTGCCAGCTGCTAAGCCCTCTCCTTGGCACCTGGAGACCACACAAAGCCACCAGAGTTTGGTAGAGGACAGCAGCATCACTACCGTTACAGCTAAAGACCAGCAAATTTGTCCCCTAAGATGGAGGGTGAGTAGCCAAAGTCTGACAAGAGCCACCAATCACATATTTGTAGCAGGAAGAATTAGGATGTAGTTCCTGGGAAATTTTAGAATAACGAGGAACTCAAATACAGAGCTGCTGTGCTGCCTAGGAATATTTCTATGAGTAATTTTAAAATATAGCTGCCCTTGCCCACCTCCAGCCTTTGGTGGTTGCTGGTGCGTATGTCCCTGCTGCGATTGCTTTCACTGGTGTCCTTCACTCACATCATAATCTAGCCTGCTCTGCCTTCCAACATGAACTAAAGTCCAGGAGTCCTCTAGGGCTTCAGGCGCAGAGTGAGACTGGCTGAGATACCCAGCTTCGTGAGAAGAGAAGCAGCCAGTGTGCAGACAGCCATTGTTACACTAGGGCATGACCTACAAGCCAAGCCAACATTAACACACACACATATCACAGTCTTCGAGGGTGATGACACACGCCCTGAATCCCAGCGTTCAAGAAGCAGAAGCAGGTGGATCTCTACTGAGTTTGAGGCCTGATGTACATAGTAAGTTCCAGGCCTGTTACGACTACACAGTAAACCTAGTCTTAAAAAAAATAAAATAAAATAATAAAATAAAGCAAAAAATAAAAATAAAAAATAACAATGGTTTAAACTATAACACACCTAAAACTAAGTTAAAATTGTATTATAATAACGTGTGTAATGATATGCATTAGACATAAGATGGTATTTCAGCACATACATGCATTTGGGAATCAAGCAAAGTAGCATTTCCCTTTTGCTACCATTTCGTTAGGGTTGGAGTCTTTGAACTCTTCCTCTAGAGCTTCACAATTCTATGTTTCTAGGGCTCAAGACTGGGACATATGTTTCATTTTCAAGGGCACAGTGGGGGGAGGCAGTTGCACACAGTCATGCTCTCTCTCTCTCTCACACACACACAGTCCCCAATATCCCCTAGCTTGTCCAAATCAGTTATGAATCCCATAGCACATGGCACTTTGCACACAACTCTACTTGGCTTTGCATGTGTATCTGTTGCTATTTTACATTTAGTTAGAATCTAAGCTTTGTTTTCTGCTTGGCCACAATTCAAGACTCAGTACACCTAGAACAATGGTAAGTGCATAATAGATGTTCACTACGTTCTTGCTGAGTGGATCAATGTCATGTGACATGGAGGTTCAAGGCCCAAAAGGGGTCCTGACATAGGACAGAAGTCAGGAACATCTGGAGCATCAAATGAGATGGCAGAGTTGTCAGCACCCATTTGAGCGCTCCCCATTGGAGCTATGGAGTTGTTCCCTCCTGGATACCTCCTGGATTTATTTTTCTTTCTTTCTTTTTGCCTCTTCAACAGATTTGAGATTCTGAGCTGCCGACATCGGGAGTACCCGGATGGTTGATTCGATGTCAAAGAGTCCCTAAGCTGGCAGAGATCAAAATCTCTTCCTCCAAATTAAAAGGCTTACTCTCTCACAGAATTCACAATGGCCTCTTAATAGCACCGAATTAATCAACGAGCATGCCTCCAAATCACCTCCAATGATCAGCTTAATGCTCGTAGTTACCCTCCAGAGCATGGTGAGTCCTTGGCGCTGCGGGCATAAGTAAAGAGGGGAGCCCTGACTGCCAGGCAGCTGCCAACCCCTGCTGGTGCCTGCTGTGCACTTTATAAGCTCTTTTGCCCAGCAAAAAGCTGGGGGGGGGAGCGGCACAGGTTCTTTCTCCCTCTCCCTCCCCCCTCCCTTTCCCTCTCTTTCTTTCCTCAAAATGTCAGCCCTCAGGATTGAAAAAAGGCCATGCAGGGTGGCTTAACCCTGTAATCCCAGTATATAGGAGGCCGAGGCTGAGAGAGCACCATGACCTCAAAGATAGCTTGACTACAAGTGAACTCAAAATGAAAACACAACTAGAAAAAAAGAACTTGAGGAAGGGGAAATTCTATAGCTCCAATGGACTTCTTCCAGTCCTGCCCCTTGCTTGATTTCACAGCCTGGGCTACAAAGTAAGACCCCCCCATCCCACCACCAGCCCTTCCTCCAAGTGAAAAAAAAAAAAAAAAAAAAAACTGGAAAAGCTGGTGAAAGCGTAATTTTAAAATTATTTTTATTGTTTCATCTTAACAATTCTCTGTATGTATCGGATATACAGCCACGCCGTAAGGACGCGCAGTGGAATGGTAAACACACCAACACTTTTGCCTCTTACGCTTCATACTTGATGTTCTTTGTAAGAACACAGAATCTGCCTTTGGCCATTCTGCATTATAGAGTGAGCTATGGTTACCCGCTATCACTGTGCTGTGTGCTCTGTCTCTAAAACTTACTCCTCTGTCTCGTTCAGGCTGAACCAGGTGATCTCTCTTTGCCCATCACCACTCTCACCAGTCCTCACGACCCAACAGTTCCCCTCCAGTGTTGGGAATTTGATTCTTTTAGATCCCACGTGTAAGTGCCTTCCTGGGCCTGGCTGATTTTGCTGAGCACAATGACACCTAGGCTCATCCATATTGTTCGGTCACAGTGATTCCTTTCTCCTGGACAACTGCCCAGTTCTCAGTAGTATGAATCTATATCATATCTTCTTTTCCATTTGCCCATTGATGTACGCAAATTAGAATGTCTCCACAGGCCAGTGACTGTGAATTCTTTCCCAATGGACACAGGATGCAGACACCCAGAACATGTTGTTAAACAGAATATTGATTTCATCACCAATGTCTCAAGTTTCACAGTAAATACCAGACAGATTACTCCTCTCTGGGTATTTTTGCTAATTTGCATAATTTCTCTGAGGTTCCAGGTCCTGTCTAGAGGAAGACACCTTCTCTATCTCATCAGCGGGTTCTGAACCAATAGAGTAAGGTGATACAAAGACATTAGCCATTCTTTTCAGTGAGATGGTTCATCTTGAAAGCAATCCGGAGACTTGGAAGTACCAAGAAACAGCAAACTGTCCCCCCGTGTTCCCCCTGGAACATAGCAAACAGCCACAAGTGGACACTGGCGGTGATGTCTGATGTCGCATAGTTTTCAGTGGACAGATAGAATTGGTGTCATTAAAATTATCAGGAATGCCACTCTTACACCATGACTGTTGGCAGCCCAAGCCTCAGGTCCCAGCTCTGACAGGCTCTTGTGCATGGATGCCCTCCTAAGTTAAGGGGCAGGCTCTCTGACTAAACCCTTCAGTTGTTCAACGTTCCAAAACTTGAACAGTGGGAGTAATCATACTTTCATGGAACAGATGGGGAAACTGAGGCTCCAAAACCCATAGTTCCTACAGGCCAGTGGCAAGATTCAATCCCAAAAAGTGTGGCTCCCTTGCCCTTGAACATGGCTCACTCATTCTCTGCCTCCACCTACCCAAAGCCTTCCATGCCTCACTTCCAGGTCATCATTCTTAAACACCTGCCACACCCCCCAGGCTGTGGGCTGAATGATGGTGTAATAAGGAACTCAAAGGCTCCCAGAAAGATGAGAAAATAATGTGAGCAGGCGAAGCAAATACATGCGTGGCTGGGTAGACTGAACCGTGCTGAGCAAGGAAGAGCCGCCATCCCCAGAGATGGTTCCAGAAGCAATCAGAGAAGGCTTCTCGGAGGAGTTGCTGCCAGACAAAACCTAAAGGCCCTGGTTCATGGCCACAGGAACGTGGCCATGAATAGCAAGCATGCTTCGCACAGCTGCACTTGCCCTTGTGGCAGAGGCTGGTGGGCCTTCCAGAACCTCAGTCCATCTGTTTTATTGGGGAGGTGTCTCGGGGATCTGGAATCTTATGGAAGCCCCCAAGCACGGGAGCATGAGGGAGATTAGCGGCAACCCCCCTGCATCCCCTGGTGGTGCCGAGTCAGTTCTACTTCCCTGCTACGACCTTCATTCTCTCCTTGTTGTTATGCACACACTTGTTGTTTCTGCAAAAGAACATTTGTACTCTCTTGGAAAACCTAAGGGCTGACACTGAAAAAAAAAAAAAAATCAAAGCACGCGTTCCGTTTCCAGTCCCCTTCCACAGTCCTCAGGTGGAGGGTCCCCGACTCACATGGATCCAGACCTTCTTGCTCTTTCTTTTTTGTGTAGGACAAGAAGAGTAGGAAGCCAGGACTGCTACCCACACATGGCAAAAATCACGGAAGCACAGGAGGGGCGGGGGCTGCTGGGTCTGCTGCCTCCCCTGGCCAGGCACATCAGATATTTGGATGGTCTTTGACACAGGTACACAAACCTCCTCTATGTAGCCATACAACTTCTCCAAAGATACCACCGCCTTGAGGCTGATCAAGAGCTAAAATAAGGGCCCAGGGAACCCCTGTGAGGCCTTGTGTTGATGAGGCAGATAAAAATTCCATTGTGTACATCAAAGATTTAGCTGGCTGAGTAGCAAGGGGCAGGGCTAGAGCTTTGCCTTAAACCCAAAGAAAGAAAGGATAAAGATTGGATCAGAGAAGAAGAACAGGGAGTGGGGGAGGGGAAAGACTCAGAAAGAGGAACCCTAAGAACCGGGGTTCCTAAAGGCAGCTTCTATCAGCAGTTCTTGCTGCCATCTTAAAGGTCTAAAGTCAACCCACAGTTGGTGAGAATATTTAAGCAGCGAGCCTGAATTATGGTGTGTGGACAGACACGCCACCTATCCCTGCATACATTAATTACTTTTTCTGGCTGCTGTGACAGAATAGCCGGTGAAAGCCGCTTGAGGGAGGAAGGGTTTGGGTTGGCTCTCCGTTTAAAGGTGCAGTCCATCCCGGTGGGGAAGGTGTGATGGCAGAAGCAAGGGGGCTGCGGTCACATGACACCTATGGTCAGTATGGCCACTCACATCCAGGGTGGGTTTTCCTTTCTCCATTAAACCTCTCTGGAAACTCCCTTAGCCACTCCCAACGGTGTCTCTATTAGGTGACTGCAGATCCTGTCCAGATGACAATGAAGGTTCACATGTTGTGTTCCAGGCCTGTGGTGCCCTGGAAGGCGAGGCACTTCTCCATCATTTATATCTTCTGTGGTAGGCGTAAGGTTCAGGTCGAGGCCATTTGAGTGGAAGGCTCTCCTGTTGCGTCTTCAGTCAGTGCCGCCGTCTCTGTGCTGAGCTCACCTCCGTGATCAAAGGGATCCCTCATTGTCTGACTGCAGGTAGCTGCAGGGCCTGTGAGAACAGCTGAGCGTGCAGACTCTGATCATTTGCACACCCGAATGTGTTTTTTTGAGTGTGCGCCCGCATGTCCCCCTCCCATGCCCACATCTGTCAGCTTGTGCAGTCCCCTTGAGTCCTCTCTGTGAGTGAATTCATTCCCAGTCTTTTGAAACATTTCTTCCTTTTAAAGATTGCGCTTTTATTTTTAGTGTGAGTGTGTGTGTGTGTGTGTGTGTGTGTGTGTGTGTGTGTGTGTGTACATGAGTGCAGGGGTCTGAGGAAGCCAGAAGAGAGTGTCAAAACCCCTGGAACTGGAGTTACACTTGGTTGTGGGCAACCCATAACGACTCTTGTGCAAAAGCAGTACAGGCTCTTAACTGCTGAACCACCCCTCCGGCCTAGAGGCATTTCTCCTTTAAACCCACAAGAATGCGTTATAAGATTCTATCTGGACTTGAGGAATTATACGCTCTAAAAGTCACTTCAGGGCCATCAATCTCAGAACATTAACCTTTTTGAGTCTGTCAAGTTGTTCCATTGGCAAAGTTAAATGTGTCCTGTTCTTTCTTTGTTTAATAAGTTAACTAATCTTTTTTGGCATTGTCCTTATTTTGGATGTGAAGAGAAACCCCTACAGTATTTATTGATGCCACATAGGTTTCTCAGAAAGGCTTATAATCAGGGTTAAAAAAAAAAAAGTGATGTTTTCAAGTAAAGAAGGTAATTCTCCAGCAATGGAGTTAAAAGAGAAACTTAATGTAAGTAATTGTTGGGTAGGAATGTGCCACTTGACAGAGTCACTTTGGTGTGATGGCACAGGGCAAATGTATCTTATTTGCAGTGTTCTTCAAACAACTTCTGGGGTGCTCCGTGCTGTGGAATGAGATATTTGCTCCCTCATTAAGAGAACCAAACATAAAGCGCTCCAAACACAAGTGGAACTTAACAACTACTTTGGGCACAGCCAGGACCTTGCCCTATTGACTGTGCTGCCCGCACTCGGAGCAGGCCTGCCCCCTCCATTGTGGCTTACACGCCAATCACCCCTGGAAACACCTTCACAGACACTCGCCGAATGGTACCTGATGAATCACCGAGACATAATTCAACCTGACAGTGAAGATTAGTCCCCACAGCCAGACACGGTGGCACACGCCTGTGGTCCCGGTTATTGGAAAGGCAGCCTGAGGCATGCTCACATAGCTTGGTGAGACTGTTCCAGTCACAATTAAAAGGGGCTGAGGGTGTTTCTCGGTGATACAGAACTTGGTAGAAAGAAGGTAAGGCCATAGGCTCTCCCCTCAGTACCTCCCCACACCAACAAAAACAGTAAATAGCATAGATGGTCTTGACAGACCTCTATGCCCAGCCGTTCGTTCCTCTGGGATAAGGAGTGTAAGCACACCTGTCTGTAAAGCTCCCAAGAATTCAGGGGCCACAGGGTGGACTTTAAGAAGGACAATCGGAAGAGGTGCCAGTGTGAAGGGGTGAAAGAGTGAGACAGTCAGGGGGCAGAGAGCAGGGGTGAGCCTGGAGCCTCAGAGGCAGACAGGGACAGTGGGACAGGAGCAAGGATCCGGGAGAGGGGACAGAGGTGGTGAACCTCTGGGGGACACAGGGATTCTGCAGGTGGAGAGCAGAACACACAGAGGGAATAGACCAGAATGCAACACTGTGTGGCGTGACACGCTCCCACAGGACCCAAGCAGGTGAGCAACGTGACGTAGGTTCTGTGAGAGCCCTCTGAAGGATGTACCACGGTAGACTTCAGGAAGTGAGGGTAGAAACTGAGAGCCGAGCCAGGGACCTCTATGGGGGAATGTGATGGCGACCCAGTCAGGGTGGACCTGTGAACACGTGAAAGCTGTCTCATGCCAGATGCGCTCTTCAAGGAGCTTCAGTGAGACTCGTGTGAAGCAGATGTGGGTGGGAGAGGATCAGGAGTCCAGGAGTTGCCGTGTGTGTGTGTGTGTGTGTGTGTGTGTGTGTGCGTGCGTGCGTGCATGCGTGTGTGTCTGAGGCAGGGTCTCATGATATAGCCCCTGACTGACCTCATACTCATAGAGATCTACCTGCCTCTACCTCCCGAGTGCTGGGACTATGAGAGGTTTCAGTTTGATTATGAAATGTTCCCCATTGGCCCAAGTGGTTAGCACCGTTTTGAGAGGTGGTGGAATCTCTTGAAGGTGAGTTCCGGCTGGAGAAAGTGGGAAGTGGGTTCCGGGGAGCTGAGGGTCACTCGAGTCTCAGCTGCCTGACTTCTGCCTATATGCGTCCAGCCGTCCCGTGTCCTTATACAGCCTCCAAGCCTTCCTCACTGGGTTATACTGTCCCCTTCAGTGATGCCGCAATGAATCGTTCCTTACACCATCCCGGCCAGGTATTGTCACAGCGTAAGAACCTAACACAGGGATCGTGAGGAAGTGGCTGTGTCTACCAGACACTCACACAAGCCCAGCCAGGAGGCAGTCAGGGAGATGGCCAGTTTCCTGGAGTCTGAGAGAGGGCTCGAATGACATCATGGCTCCAGCAGTCACTGGCATAAGCATGGGTGTCTTAGATCTATGACGTTCCCAGGCTCGTCAGGATGCTGTGGTAGAATGCCTCACAACGGGTAGATCACAAACAAACCACGTAATGCCGTTTTGCACATTGTCAACAAGGAGAGTTTGAGATTAACGTTCCAGCAGATTCAGCGATTGCTTCCTTCACAGACATCTTACCATGACTCCCTACAGCAGAAAGTAGCTGGAGATGTGCTGATGTGATGGGATCCGACTGGGTGTCCCCCAGGGGTTTCTGGGTTGCAACCTTAAGTTCTTAGTGTGGTGGTGCTGAGAGGTGATGGAGCCCTTAAAGGCACAGCCTAGTCTAAGGTAGTAAGGTCATGCAGACCCCGCACTTGGGAGGGGTTAATGCTGACCTTGCAGGGTTAATTAATTCCTGGAAGGGTGAGTAGTTACTTAAAAAGAATGGCCCCCTTGTTTTTTGTATTTGTTTTGTTGTTGTTTTTTTAAGGTCTGAGAATCTCTTGGGTCTTTTGCTTCTTGTCTTATCACGTGACTTGTTCTTCACAAGCTGACACTGTAGGGCTGCCACCCACGGAAAGCCCTTCCCAGAGCCAACCAGACGCTGGCATCCCGCTGTTAGGATGTGGCTCCAGATACTGGCGTGCAGCAAAGGTAGGAAGGGAATCTGTAAATGTCTGCTGGCTGACGGATGCTCTCCCGCACTCTGAGAGGCCCATGAGCCCGTGCCAGCTTCTCCCTGGCTTTCACATGACTTTTGCTTATCTGGTGCAGCTGATAGGAGTGACTGCGTCTCAGGCGACAAGGGAAGGGGTACCGTGGATGCCTGGAAGGATACACAGCCCTCCAAAGAACTCTCAGAGCATGTGGGCCCTTCCCAGGGTCAAGAATTTGAAGCAGTTGCCCCATCATCTATTCCTGAACACTGGTAGAATTTTGTACTAAAAATAGCTAGTCTAAAAATAAAAATCCCAGTACTTATCTGAGATTTGTCAACTAAACTGACATGTACTTCTAGATATTTAGACACATCTGTACAAGCCCTCAGACCTTTGGAGGCATCGGAAGCCTTGGTTTTCATCCTTGGCTTTGTATATAGTCCTTACAGAGATATTTGGTTTTGTGTGGACATCATCAGGCAGCATGTGAATGGTCTGTTTGAAATAAAGCGTTTGTGCACAGAGTTCGGTCCAGTAGCCACACAGACACTAAATGGAAGAACTCAGAGAGTATGAGCCAGGAGAGATCAAGAACGCCTGCCATTTCACCCTGAGGTCATTCCGAGCAATGAATTACAAGGCTTGTCTTTTTTTTTTTTTTTTTTCCTTTTTAGAAATTGTTTCATTCTATACGTGCCTTGGAACTTTCCATGTAGC